ACCCTGACTCAGTCACACATGGTGCAGCAGGTCCTTCAGCGCTTCGGCTTCACCTGGTCTTCAGCACAGGCCACTCCTCTGGCTACAGGTCATTCGCTCTCAGCTCCACCTTCGGACGAGTCCGTAGAGCCGAGTGGTCCTTACCCAGAGCTAGTCGGCTGCCTCATGTACCTGATGACTTGCACTCGACCTGACCTCGCGTACCCTCTTGGTCTTCTGGCTCGCTACGTGGCTCCTGGCCGGCACCGACCTGAGCACATGGCTGCTGCTAAGAGGGTACTGCGCTACTTGTGCAGCACATCAGGCATGGGGCTAGTGCTTGGAGGGACGAGCCCAGTTGTCCTCACTGGGCACTCAGACGCTTCTTGGGTTGACGACCTGGCTACTCAGCGGTCGTCGCAGGGTTACACCTTCAGCCTTGGCTCTGGTTCAGTTTCGTGGCGTTCTACACGCTCGTCTTCAGTTCTCAGCTCCAGTTGTGAGGCTGAGATCTACGCCACAGCCATGGCTGCACAGGAGTTACGCTGGCTCACCTACCTGCTGACTGACTTGGGAGAGCAGCCTCGTTCTCCTCCAGTGCTGTACGTCGACAACAAGGCCGCCATTGCCTTGTGTGAGGAGCACAGACTGGAGCACAGAACGAAGCACATTGCTCTGCGTTACTTCCTGGCTCGAGAGTTGCAGCAGTGAGGCCAGCTTCGTCTTCGCCACGTGGCCACTCGGGCCAACACTACTGATATATTCACCAAGGCACTTCCGTCTGGTGATTATCAGCGCTTTTGTACTCTGTTGGGCCTTGTGCCTACGTTTCCACACTTGCTGTAGTCTCTGCTTGTACTGTGATCTATATATATACCTGCATGCTGGCTCTTGCTAGGTAGTCATCACTGTACTGTTATTGCTGCATATATATCTCTGCATGTAAACTGGTCATGTGGCCTTTTGCTTGTGCTCGGAATGTGTGGTGACGTTGTGATCCACCCTGAGCTTGTTTTGCTTCTCTTGACTGGTCGTGTGACCCCTTGTTCTCCCCCACTTTGCCTATGGGGGTGTGTCAAACTATATGTGCTGCATATTGTCTAGGCTGTAGTGGGGTAGCCCATATGGGGTACAACCCAATTAGGGTTTACTACTTGTACTCCTGCATCCTGTTAGTTCATCCATTCCTGCTGCTAGATTCTAACATTTTTGGGCATTAGTGTTACACTGATCTGTAAGTGTATCGGTTTAGTCCACACTGATGCTCTGGGGTAATGTTTCCGGTAGCGAGGTTTACACTGAAGGGCGTACAGACCCCCCCCCCCCTGTTCCCGGGAAGTTGTCAGATTGTGATTTCCGTCAATCACGCAAGTACCGAGGGTACCTTTCATACAGTATGTGCGTTGGCAGCAGTCACCTCTCCCATTGGTCCGTTTGGAATAATTCCCTAGCCAGCTCGCCACGAAACCCGGTGTTGCCATCAAGTACAGTATTGCTGCCTGAATCTGGTGGTTTCACTAGGACCACATTCAGATGGTCGGTGCGTGCACTTGTCATCCATCTCCCCGACCGAGGCGCACTCGGTGTATCGGTCTGGATGCATTGCCTTGTGGGTAGGGCAAGCACAGATGCAGTGTCGCCCCGCACCGTCGTTCCACCATCCCCACCTAGTTCCTCTTGTTCTAACCTCCCTCCCTAGCAGCCGAGCGACGTCTACCTCGTTGCCATGGCAGCCCCTGGAGACCTGGACGCTGACGATGCAGATGATGGAGACCCTTCCAGTAGCAACAGGCCTAGGACTGGCCTCGATTTCTTGAAAGGCAATGCTTCTGAACCAGGACCCAGCACTTTCGCCGAACCCTATGTTGACAGTGAGGGGTGGCATCATCCAGTGCGCACAGCAGTGCGGCAATCACCACCGCGCCAGGAGGAGGTAGAGGACGAGGAAGCTGAATGGCAACGTCCCACGCGCATTGAGGGGGACCCCGTCGCGCGCGACAACGTGGAAACGACGGAGGTCGTTACCGAAGCACCGGAGTCTTCTAACTCGGTGGCGCTGAAACGACGGCGCTACACGCAGACCACCATTGGGTTTGCGAGCGGCACGCCTCTCGTGAGGCCTCCACCACCGCCACCTCCCAAGGTCACTCCAGCGCCGTCACCTCTTAAGCTGACTGCAGCTGAACGCGCGGAGGCGAAGTTCCTTTAAGCTCAGCGAAACTACATCACGAAATGGCTCCCGCAGTTTGATTGGCTGTTGCTCGACAAGGGTGAGGATGGTCTGCCATGCTTGCGTTGCAGTGTGTGCAGTGAACATGGCCCAGACAACGCTCGTTACGGGAGGAATGGATGTGGCGGACGAGACTTGCAGCCAGCGTCGATGCGGGCGCACCAGGCCAGCACTCGACACGAGGAGTGCATCGAGCGGCAGCAGGGGCTTCTGGACAAGTTGGCTGCGCAGAAGAAGATCGACGACTACGAGAGAGCAGACCCTGAGGGCGCGCGCGTCATCAGGCTCATGCGGAGCATTCAATTTGTGTGCGACGAGGACGCACCGATCTCAATGTACCCAAGGCTCGTGGAGTTTCTGGCTAGAGAGGGTGTTTCGGACATTCCTCTACAGACCTACGGTGTTTATATCACGGAGTGAGTGCTGTTCATGCTTTCCCATATTCTGTTAATGAATACATATCATTTGGATGCTAACCCATGTTTGCGCGAATTGCAGGTACGAGTTCAAGGAGATGGTGAAGGCGATGTGCACTTATCAGCAGCAGAAACAGCTGATGTACATACACGCGTCACCTTGGATCGGCATCAGCTGTGACGAGAGCACAGACAGAGCGCGCGGGAAGCATCTGGTAGTTTTCGTGACGTTCGTGAAGGATCGGCAAGTGGCGACAGAATTCTTCGCGCTGCTAACCGTGCAGAAGTGTGATGCTGCGAGTATCTTCACCGTCCTCCTAAACCACCTGGAGACCGTCGGTCTAGAACTGCAGCGGATCGTCGCCATCAGCACCGACGGAGCGGGTGTGATGGTTGGCTGCGAGCGGGGTTTGACGGTGCGCCTCCGTGAGCGCATCCCTCATCTCGTCGGCACGCACTGCATAGCACACAGGTATGCGACGTCAATGGTTTTCCCGTGTTGTTCAGTCAGGCAACTTCAAGTGTTCTGACAGTTTTTTAAAACCATGTGTAGAGAAGTACTTGCAGTGAAGGAGTCGGCACTGAAGTACAAAGACCTCGACTTCGTGGACGCAGCTATCCGTGAGCTCGGCGACATCGTCACGAAGTCGTCCGTCTGGCACGAGCACTTCAAGGAGCTGCAACAAGAGATCCACAAGACAAACCTCGAGCACCAGGGCCTTTTCGACGTGAGGTGGTTGTCGCGTGGAGACGCCGTGCAGCGGCTGTGCAAGGTCCTAGGTGCGGCGGTCGTAGTCTTCATCGAGTACGGCCACAAGTTAGCCGCCACGGTGCAGTCTCTGAAGTTCAACTTCTGCGTCTACTTCCTGGCGGATCTCCTGGCTGAGATCAACACCCTCAACAAGTTTTTCCAGCGCCGGAGAGTAAGCTATTTATAGTTTGATGTTTACTGTAGTCGGAGTTATGCATTTTGGGTTGTTGGCTCTTACCGCTGTCAACGTGTTTCCGCCACGATTACAGGTTGACATCACGCTCGTGCACCAGGAGGTGGACCGCACGATTGCGTGCATCAGGCTGCGCTACGTGGAGTACGACGAGAGCGGTTTTGGGGGAGGACTCAGCAAGCTGCTTACGCCATTCATCGCTCGCATGGCCAAAGGGAACAGGACGATCAAGGTGGACGGCGTGGATGCGGAAGGCGAGGCAACATCGCATGAGATCGTGCTGACCGAGACGCCGATAAAGGGACACAAGTACGGCGGAACGATGGCCGACTGCATCAAGCTGTGCAAGGCGTTTGCTCTGGAGGTGGCGACAAACCTGCACACACGCATGTACAGCCTGAAGGAGATGGAGGGCAGCAAACTGTACAAGGTAGAGTCGTGGCCAGAGGCGAAAGACAAACGGGAGCGACGAGTGGTGCAGTGGTTGGACGCCAACGCGCGTGTCTTCAAAAACAGGCTGCCAGGTGTGCTGTTGACCACGTGTACATAGCTATTCTACTGTTCACACTGTGTTCGTGGTGCCAACATGGATCCCACAAACCTGTTGACTGATATCATTTTTGAACTTTTTTTGTCAATTTATGTTGCAGGGTTCAACCACCGTGCGGCCGAGCTGGAACTGAAGAGCTTCTGCCACGTCATGTCGCGCCACTACGAGGACGAGGACTTCTACCAAGGGCTTGCAAAGATGCTGAAAACCAAGGACTGGCCACGCAGCTTCCCGAACCTGGTATCGATGTGGCAGGCGCTTGCAGTCATTCCGCTAAGTACCGTGGAGTGCGAGCGCGGATTCAGCCGGCAAAACGTCATCAAGAGCTGGATGCGCACATCGCTCGGCGACGCCCGGCTATCCGAGCTGATGACCCTCAACATGCTGGACTACGAGTACAAGTGGCCCGATGTGGTGGACATCTGGCGGAAGCAGAAGAAGAGGAGACCCGCAAAAACACCCGCCCCGTACAAGCAGTGTGCTGGAAAGGGCAAGGCTGTAGTGGAGTCGTTTGATAGCGAGGACAACCATGATGTAGAGTGAATGAGTACAATTTAATATTACAGAATGGCATACTAAAGAAAAAAGACTAAGCATACATCCATCAGTGCACGGAATAAACCTACACTGATGACCTAGTGTAAAATTATCAAAACAAGGAGTTACACTGCAAGATCAGTGTACTGGAAAATTTCACACTGCTCATAAGTGTTTTTGAAAAGGCCACACTGCCAATCGTGAGTTAGCCAAAACCAAACCTGAGCCCTGATCGACAGCCCTGATCGCAACACAACAGTTTAAAACAAATGCATGAGAGGGCATGGCAAAGCCCCATGGCAAACAAGAGCCAACGTTATCCTCATGGCAAAGCCTACGGTATGTTATCCTTCTTCCAATGTCACCTCCGCACATCCTTTCCCCTTCCTCCCCTTGTCCTTCGTCCCCATGTGTTCAGCCTTTCCCATCCTGCCCCACACTACATGCACTTGTTTTCCACAAAAGCCCACCTCCGCCACCCCTTTCTCCGACACCCCACTGCCATACACATCCACGTGCCTCAGCGCCCTCGCCTGCCTGAGCGTCCCCGGCAGCGACTTGAGTGCCCCGCACTCCCTCAACTGAAGCACTTCTAAACGTGGTAGCAGGCCAAGGGTGGGCGGGAGGGAGTGCAGCTGCTTGCAAAGGCTGAAGCAGGCCACTCGGAGGGCAGGCAGGGAGGAGAAGGAGCTGGGGAGGTGCGTGAATGAGCCGCATTCGACAATTTTGATGCGGGTGAGGCGAGGCAGCAAGCCAAAGGACTCAGGGAGGGAGGAGAATTCCGGGCAGTCGGAGATGCTGAGAAGGGTGAGGGAGGGCAGGGAGGAGAACGAGTCAGGCAGATGGTGGAACTTCTTGCAGTTGGTGAGAGTAAGTGTGAGCAGACGAGGGAGGAGGCAGAAGGAGGGAGGCAGGCTGAAACTGTGGGAACAATGAGTCAATGAGACCTCCTCAAGCGAGGATAAGCCAGCCAGAGTGTCGGGCAGATAATCCTTGGACCCCCCGCGAACACTCAGCTTCTTCAGCACTCCCAGGCGGCCCAACCCCGGGGGTAGGGATTCCAGCTCGTAGGACGAGTCAAGAGAGAGCTCTTCCAGGCGCGACAGCTGAGAAATCGCCCCGGGCAGGTGCTTTAGGGTTTTGCTACCAATGAACAGGTGGCGCAGGGAGGTCAGGTCACAGATGGACGGCGGAAGTCCGTCTTTCATGCAGAAGCCTCTCAGCTCCAGCCACTCCAAGGCTGCCAGCTGGCCCAGATCTTCTGGAAGTGACACGTGGGTGCGGACGCCCCAATCGAAATCTATGCACAGCGTGCGGAGGGCGCGCAGGCGTGCAAAAGCGGGCAGAGAGGAGGGAAGGTGCATGTTGTGGAGGCGAAGGTCCGTGAGAGAGGTGAGATCCGTGAGAAACGACGGGGACACTCGGGGGAAGGCGGCGTTGTAGTCCAGTTTCAGGAATTGCAGGCACGGGGCGAGGGGGGAGAGGGAGTTCGGGAGGCGGAGCCAGCCTCAGAGGGAGAGCGAGCGCAGGTTGGTGAGATGTCCTAGATCGGAGGGGAGTATTACGGAGAAGGAGACGCACTCAATGTGGAGGTGCGTGAGGGAGAGCAGCGAGCACACACGCGCTAAGAGCCTCTCGTACCCCACGCTGCCCACGCAGATACTGAGATGCTTCAGAGATGGGCCCAGCGCCCTGTGGTAGGTGGTCTGTGCTACTGCTGCGGCTGCTGCTGCTGCTGTGGCTCCTGCAGTGGCTGCTGTCGCTGCTGCTGCCGCTGCTGCTGCTGTTATGGCTCTTGCCGTGGCTGCTGCCGCTGCTGCTAAGGCTCCTGCAGAGGCTGCTGCCGCTGCTGCTGCTGCTGTTGCTGCTGCCGCTGCTGCTGCTGCTGCCACCGTTGCTGAGGCTGTGTCTGCTGCAGCGGCAACGGCAGCATCGGGATGATTCCGCGCGACGTATCCCAGGAGCTCTGCCACCTGCCTCGCGTTCTCATCGCGACGGTGCAGCCTCATGACAGAGCCCACCTTCACATACGCCAGCGACGGCAGCGCAAAGAGCGCCTCGGGAAAGCGCACTGAATGGTAGACGGCAGAGACCTCGAGGCGCTCCAGAGATACCAGCTGGCTTAGCGGCTCGAGGGGTACATCAAACATGAGACGGTTGAGCGTTAGTTGGCGCAACGCGGACGCCTGGGGCAGGATGGGTGGGAGCGATTGGAGCTTCCAGCAGACGCTGATGGTGAGGTGCGTGAGCGAGTGTACGGACGCGAGCTGGAAAGTGCGCATGGCGCACGAATCCAGAGTGACTTGTTCGAGGTTCGCCCATTTCTTGCATGCGTCTGGTAACGACGCGCCAGTGAAGTTTCGCAGCTCCAGTCGCCGCATCTGCTGCAGCGCGCCGACGCGAGGCGGGAAGCGATCGACCTGCCACGAGCCGTCGACGTGGAGAGAGGTGAGCGAGGCGAGATCGCCGAAAGAATCCGGCAGACGCCTCAATACCTTGCAGTCCGTGAACGACAGGTGCTCCAGCCTCGTTAGCTGGCCGAAATTTTCGGGCAGCTGCTGCAGCAACGGGCAGCTCAGGTAAAGTTCTTGCAAGGCAGACAGCTGGCACACCTCGTCGGGCAGCGAGCGGAGAACCTTGGAGCATAGGCGGAACACGCGCAGCGACGACAGCGACGCGACTGAAGCAGGGAGCTTCGTCGTGTGGCCGAGACACTCGCGCAGCGAGAGCTCTTGCAGGCGCGACGACGCGACGCGGAAGAAATTCTCGAAAGATTTCGTGCCGATTCGAAAGTGGGAAGTTCCGGTGAAACGGGGAGGGGCGATGCTGAGGCGGGCGAGGTGAGGGCGCGCGGAGAGCAGGCGAGACAGGAACTCGTCGTCGTAGAAATCGACGGCGCTCGCCTCCAGAGAAAGCGCCGTGACTCTCGGCGCGAGCGCCAGCGTGCGGAGGAGCGCCGGCGCGGAGACCGCGGGGGCGGAAAGCGTCATCTCTCGCCGCTCCGCAACGTGGAGTTCGGAGGAGTGTGACGTAAAGCCGCCACGGACGCGTAGGATCGTCATCAGGAACATCCATCGCTTGCAAACGACAGCGAGGTTGCTAGAATCGGGGCCATCCGTGACGTTGGGCTCGCCAGTCTTGCCGGTTTCATTCGCGCCGCCAAGTTCTGCTGTCAGTTCTGCAGGATTGGCGGCAGTCGAGGCAAGCGAGATAATTCTGGAAAGAAGCTCGTCGGGGAGATGGTTGATCGACGTGGCTCGCGCCCTGTTGGCCATCGACGGGGAAAGCTGCTCACACCGCGTTCTCGCTTCACGACGTACATACGTTTTGAATGGCTGCGAACTCGTCATTCTTGCTTCGCACGTCAATCCCTAGAGTTCTACTTCCACGAATGAGTCCGAAACTAAAAAAAAAAACTTGCCGCCACTGCAGCGTTAACGCGACCGCTCAGGCATTACGGACAGAATGAGAAATTAGGAAACCATTCCTACTCCTTAGAAGAGGTGGCAAATCAGGGTTCGACATGGCTGAATTTGTGTTTCTGTGACAAGAAATCCAAGTCGCGAGGTGGCTGGAGGTGAGCATGAAGCAGAAGTCCTTCAGCAACAAAAATCCGTAGATCTTCGGCGTTCATTTGCAATACCAAACGGTACCAATGCAAAAGTTGAGCTGAAGAGATTGGCTGGAAACATGCAAGACCTTGTGGCTGACGAATGACAACACCTCGTTGCTGCATGACAGGTCGGGTCGCAACGCAAGGCGCATGAGCAATAAAAACTGATGGAAACGTCATTCATGTTTTTGGTAACAAATTTCTCGATGTCTGTACAACCGCTAAAACAAGCAAAGTTTATGAGGTACCTAAGGAGCCCAACAAACAACACCTCGTTGCTGCATGTGAATTCAGTTGTTTGAGAGTAGTGGCAATACGGTAGGATGCGCGTGACGACGCTGCTGGAATGACGTAAAGTCGGGAGGGTGGTGTGATGTGGTGGCTGTTATTTGCTGTACTTATTGTAGTGAAGTGTGCTTGAACACCTCAAGATATCCCGTAGGTCCAGCTAAAGAACACCTCATTGGTTCACCACGTTCCTCATTGCTATATGGAAAGCTTATCTCAGAGGCGTGTAATAGTCCTACTGAAAAAAGGTGAACACCATTAGGGGCGCTCACAGAGCCAGCACCATGGGAGCCAGCATTATCCTTACTCCAATTTCACCTCCGCACATCCTCTCCCCTTCCTCCCTTCGACCTTCGTCCCCACATGTTCAGCCTTTCCCATCTTCCCCCACACAACATGCACTTGTTTCCCACAAATGCCCGCCTCTACCACCCCTTTCTCCGGCACCCCACTGCCATACACATCCACGTGCCTCAGCGCCCTCGCCTGCCTGAGCGTCCCCGGCAGCGACTTGAGTGCCCCGCACTCCCTCAACTGAAGCACTTCTAAACGTGGTAGCAGGCCAAGGGTGGGCGGGAGGGAGTGCAGCTGCTTGCAAAGGCTGAAGCAGGCCACTCGGAGCGCAGAGAGGGAGGAGAAGGAGCTGGGGAGGTGCGTGAATGAGCCGCATTCGACAATTTTGATGCGGGTGAGGCGAGGCAGCAAGCCAAAGGACTCAGGGAGGGAGGAGAATTCCGGGCAGTCCAAAATGCTGAGGTGGGTCAGGGAGGGCAAGGCGGAGAAAGAATCGGGCAGATGGTGGAACTTTTTGCACGAATCGACAGAGAATTGCTGCAGGGAGCATAGGGAGCCGAAGTTAGATGGCAGGGTGGTGAGATCGTTGCAGCTGGTGAGAGTGAGCGAGAGCAGGCGAGGGAGGAGGCAGAAGGAGGGTGGCAGGCGGAAACTGTGAGAGCAATGAGCCAAGGAAACCTCCTCAAGGGAGGACAAGCCTCCAAGAGTGTCAGGCAGATAATCCTTCCACCCGTGAAGAATGCTCAGCTTCTTCAGCGCTCCTAGGCGGCCAAACTCCGGAGGCAGGGCTTCCAGCTTTAAGCACGAGCCAAGCGTGAGCTCTTCCAGGCGAGACAGTTTGGAAACCGCTTTCGGAAGGCGTTTCAAGGAGTCACTACTGAGGTAGAGACGCCGCAGGGAGCTGAGGTCACAGAAGGACTGCGGAAGCGCAGCTCCCACGGAGCAGTCCTTCAGCTGCAGCCACTCCAAGGCTGCCAGCTGGCCCAGGTTTTGTGGAAGCGACACGTGCGTGGGGCCACCGCTGTCGTATTCTATGCGCAGCGTGCGGAGGGCGCGCAGGCGCGCAAAGGCAGGCGCGGGGGAGGGAACATGCATGTTGCAGAGGTGGAGGTGCGTGAGGGAGGTGAGACGCGCGAGACAGGACGGCAGATCCCGGCGGTGAGTATCCGCGTAGTTGTCGCCGCTGTAGTGCAGTTTCAGGGATTGCAGGCACGGGGCAAGGCGGGAGAGGGAGTTCGGGAGGCAGAGCCAGGAGCCATGGAGGGAGAGCGAGCGCAGGTTGGTGAGATGACCTAGATCGGAGGGGAGGGGCGCGGAGGAGGAGAGGCAGTCGATGGAGAGGTGCGTGAGGGAGAGCAGCGAGCACAGACGCGCGGAGAGCCTGCCGCCTCTCGGGAAGTACGACAGGTCACCGAAGCACATGCTCAGATGCTTCAGAGACGGGCCCAGTGGCGAAAAGGAGCCCGTCACTCCACCACCTGCTGCTGCTGCTGCTGCTGCTGCTGCTGCGGCGGCGGCGGCGGCAGTGGGATGATATGGTGCTGGGTACGCGATGAACGCAACGATCTCCCTCGCCTCCTCCCAGGCCGCCACGTGGTCGGCTTCCACCCACGACACGTACCCCGCTTTCACGTACGCCAGCGACGGCAGAGCGAAGAGCGCCTCGGGAAAGGGCTCCGTCGGGTCGACGTTTGCCACTTCCAGCCGCTCCAAAGATACGAGATTGCTTAGCGACTCGAGGGATACGCCGGGAAAGACACTAATGCCGATAGTTAGATGGCGCAGTGCCGACGCGAAGGGCAGGTTGGGTGGGAGCGACCTGAGATCCCAGCAGGCACTGATGGTGAGATGCGTGAGGGAGGCTACGGACGCGAGCTGAAAAGCGCCCATGTCGGCGCACGAATCCAGAGTTACGTGTTCGAGATTCGCCCATTTCTCGCATGCGTCTGGTAACGTGCCGGTGAAGTTTCGCAGCTCCAGCCGCCGCATCTGCTGCAGCGCGCCGACGCGAGGCGGGAAGCGATCGACCTGCCACGAGCCGTCGACGTGGAGAGAGGTGAGCGAGGAGAGATCGCCGAGAGAATCCGGCAGACGCCGCATTTCCTTGCAGTCCGTAAATGAGAGATGCTCCAGGCTCTTTAGCCGGCCGAAAGTTTCGGGCAGCTGCTGCAGCAACGGGCAGTTTAGGTGAAGTTCCTGCAGGGCAGAAAGCTTGCAGATCTCGTCGGGCAGAGAGCGGAGAACCTTGGAGCAGAGGCGGAACACGCGCAGCAACGAGAGGGATGCGACGGAAGCAGGAAGCTTCGTCGTGCTGCCGAAGCATTCGCGCAGCGAGAGCTCTTGCAGGCGCGACGACGCGACGCGGAAGAAATTCTCGAGAGCTTTCGTGCCGATTCGAAAGTGGGGCGCTCCGGTGAAGCGGGGAGGGGCGATGCTGAGGCGGGCGAGGTGAGGGCGCGCGGAGAGCAGGCGAGACAGGAACTCGTCGTCGTAGAAATCGACGGCGTTCGCCTCCAGAGAAAGCGCCGTGACTCTCGGCGCGAGCGCCAGCGCGCGGAGGAGTGCTGGCGCGGAGATCGCGGGAGCGGAAAGCGTCATGGCGCGCAGCTCGGGACCGCGCAGTTCGGAATGGTTTGACTTGAAACCGCCGCGGACGCGAAGGACCGTCATCAGGAGCATCCATCGCTTGCACACGACAGCGAGGTTGCTAAAATCGGGGCCATCCGTGATGTTGGGCTCGCCAGTCTTGCCGGCTTCATTCGCGGCGTCAAGTTCTGGTGTCGATTTTGCGGAAGTGGTGGCAGTCGTGGCGAGCGAGAAAATTCTGGAAAGAAGCTCGTCGGGCAGATGGTTGATCGACGTGGCTCGCGCCCTGTTGGGCATCGACGGGGAAAGCTGCTCTCCACGAGGTATAGCCATCCTTAATGGACGCGAATGAGCCATCTCTAACATCTGCTTCATACGTCTATCTTTAAGTTCTGCTTTCACAAATGAGCAAGACTCTCATGATATCAGCAGTCGTCAAAGGAGAGCAATGTTTCCGAAGGCTTTGTTTGGGAGGAATGTGTGAAAGGGAAACGTGAAGCAATTTACGGGGGGAATGACAGCACGTCTCTGCTCTGCCCTGCTGCTGCGTGCATGCCAGGTTTGCAATGCGACACAAGAATGAAAACGGTTCCCTCGATTTTCATGTCTCGAAAAGAGCAAGGCTTCGCTTTTGCTACGAGTGCACGAAAACAAGTCTTGTTATAGACTAACAAGACTCTTATTAAAGATTCACAATACAATGAAGGGCCCAAAATATCAGGGCACCCTGATTACCCTGATGGGCGGCCGCTTTTACTCTTACGCAAAAAGAGTATGCTTTCTTTACAATGATACAATATTGGTTAGCCTGACGGTATCATGGTTGGGTGTACACAGGGCTGATTTTATTAGGGTAATTACCCTGATTTGAGGGTGATTTTCGCCTTGTCACTTGCTGGTCCCTGTAAAATCATGTTTTTAACATTTTGGTCCCTGATCCATCCAGAGTATTGGTTTAGCGGGCCCTGAAACTTTGTGTACACTCTCAGTGTAGTGTCCTCATGGACCCTGTCATTACAGAGTGCGTGGCCTATGGACCCTAAATGCTATGTTATCGGAACGAAGCTTCCTAGAAGCTTTGTCCAAATAACCCCCCATGTGCGTGGTTATGATTTCACACATAACCATGTGAAGGATTCGTTACACGCGCACAAGTGACGTAATACCGACATAGATTACCCCTCCCCTTTGTACAACATCGATGTACAGCACAGCTGTCAACTTTGACAGTGCAACGAGAATCATCATTTATACTGCCACGCGCACCGGACTAACCACAATACGTGTTCCTCATTGGCGAGAGACACATAGAGGCAGTCGTCGCTGGCAGACAAGCAATCGTTCAATGTATTCGGCCTGCATGAAGGGCCGAATACAATGACGGCTCGAGGTTTCGACCATCGCGCCACCAATTTTGTGGCGACGCGGTGGTTTCTTGCTGACCCCATCTTCTCCCGCCATCTTCTGCTTCCCCTTTCCCCCTACCGGGGTCTTCTTGGTGATGCTGTTATTTTCTCTGTTTCTCTCTCCCCCCCTCTCTTGTTTCTCTCCGACATGGAAGGCCAGCAGGCTGATGGTGACTCGCTTCAGGCTGGCTCAGATGAGCCACCGTTACTGCCGAAAGCCACGGAGGCTACGCTGCCGAAGAAACCTTCTGATGCCCGTCGCTCTTGGCTTGATTTTCTTAGAGGTTCCACTGCTCTAGTAACACCTGATCCACCTAGGTCTACCGTTCATGACTCTGCACTTAGAGACACTTCCACCCCTCGACGAGTCTCCCCGTTAGGCCGCCTTCTCTCTACCCCCGGCTGTTGCTTCTTGCAGTGAAGATCCACCACCGGCCACGCCAAGTCCCACACCAAGCACCGTGCGGGTGTCTGTTGGTCCTCTATCGGCTACCTCCACCTCGAAGAGCGCGTTCAGGGTAGTGGGCGCAGAGTACCCTGCTCATCGGAGGCCGCCGTCTTACACCTCCGAACAATCCGGCCGATCCACCACCTGAGGAAGCTGCTACCCCTGAGGAAGATGCCATCCCTGTCCGCGTGGACACCGGCTCGCCCGCCCTCACCAAGATGCAGCTGCGGGAGCAAATGTACCTTGAGGCGAGCAACAATTACGAGACAAGGTGGTCGGAACAGTTCTCGTGGCTTGTGTTAGGCAAAACCAAGGACGGGTTTCCCTATGTGAAGTGCAGCGTCTGCATGGCCTATGGGAAGGAGAACACGAAGTACGCTAGGCAAGGTGATGACGGAGGCCGTGACCTCCAGATGCAAGCGTTTCGAGGACACGAGCACATGGACGCTCACACGGCGGCTGTTGATCGGCAGTTGAAGATTGCGAGGGGCATCCGCGAGGGGCAGCAAATGATTTCAAACTTCATCAGCTCGGACGTGAAGGGCAGGCGCGCCGTTCGACTCTTGCGGTCGGTTGTGTTTATGTGCCAGTGCGACGCGCCAATAAGCATGTTCCTAAAGCTGATGCGACATACCGAGACAGTCTTACGGTGTTTATCTCACCGGGTAGGACCTTTATTTACAGACTTGTTGTGTAGCTTGCTTTCAATGAAATATATTCTCCATTGGTTACTAACTAGTTGACATAAATCTCTGAGCAGGTACGGCTTCCAACAGATGGTTCATTGCCTCAGTACCTACCTGACGAATGTACAGATGGACCACATCAACTCTTCCCCGTTCCTGGGCCTGAGCTGCGATGAGAGCACCGACCGAACATGTGGTAAACACATGATCGTTTACCTAACCTTCATGAAGGACCGCCGAGTCATCACCGAGTTCTTCACCCTTCTGACAATCGAGAAGTGTGATGTTGCGTCCCTGTTCGAGGTGCTCATGAATCATCTGTGCTCCGCAGCCATCGATGTGTCCAAGATTGTGGGAGTCAGTACGAACGGGGCTTCGGTCATGACTAGGAAGGACAACAGATTCGTGAACACGTCCCCTATCTCTTTTCCTGTCACTGCATCGCGCACAGGTAAGTTTTACAGCCGGTTCATGATCCAGTACACTTTACTAGTTTGTTTTACCGTATCTTTTGCAGGGAGGCGCTGGCTGTCAAGGACGCGGCGACGTCCGACCCCGACCGGGGCATGGTGGACAAGGTGGTGCGCACAGTGGCAGCAAAGCTTGGAGAGTCTGGAGCCAATGCTTCAAGTACCTGCAGCGAGTGATCTACATCACGAACCTCAAAGTTCAGGGGATCCACACGGTTCGCTGACTATCACGCGGAGATGCGGTGTGTCGGCTGTGCAAGGTGCTCGATGTGTCGAGAAAATTAGGCAAAAGAGGAGGATGAACTAGCAAGAATGGGGATACAAATAGCAAACCCTAGAAGGGTTGTACTCGCTACAGAGCACCCCACTACAGGCTAGAGCATAATATTCTGACACACCCCCATAGCCAAAGTGGGGTGTAATCAGCACAGCAAGCAAAGCAGTACAAGCTCAGGGTGGATCACGATGTCACCACACATTCTGAGCACATGAGCAAGAAGCAAAAGTTTAAAGTTCACAATTATGGGTAAAGCTAGAGGCTGTCACAGAGGGCAAGCGAGGAGGAGGAGGGCTGGTGAGATGAGAGAAGAGTGGAGGCGACGACTGAAGCTGCAGACACACGGGCAACAGACGGCTCTGGTGCAACGCTGGTGGCTACCGGGAGGAGAAAGGCCCCGGAATACAGGAGTAACAGGCTCTGCGTCTGATCAGCCAGCGACAGTAGCAACTGACCCACGGGCGACAGATGCAACCGGCTCTCTGAGCTACCGGGAGGAGAAAGGCCCCGGAATACAGGTGCTGCGGACGACACGACGGCAACCTCCGCTCAACCTCCTCCAACTGCCCCACACACCCCTCGACACACACCCCCTGCTGAACCCTAGCTCCACTCCCACGGTACCCCCCCTTAAACCCCAAACCCTAGGCTCCCACACACCACCCCCCTCAGCGGCAGCTGTAGCAGAGGGAGACGAGGGAGGAGGAGGAGCAGGGGGAGGAACTCACAACCGACACCCCCATAGCCGCCACCCCCACACTCTTCACCCCCAAACCCTAATTCGGGCGAAACGGGGGAAGGAGCGCGGGGGACGGCGAGGGGGACGGCGCGCGGCCCCCAGGACGCCACCACGGGGCAGCGAGGGGCCGCGCGCGGCTCCTTAGGGCGCCGCGACGGGAATTGGGGGGGGGGGGGGGGGGGGGGGGGGGGGGGGGGGCGGGGCGACGGGAACGAGGGGCCGCGGGCGACGGAACCGAGGGGCCGCGGGCGACGGGATCGAGGGGCCGCGGGCGACGGGATCGTGGGGCCGCGGGCGACAGAACCGAAGGGCCGCGGGCGACGGGATCGAGGGGCCGCGGACGTCGGGATCGAGGGGCCGCGGGCGACGGGATCGTGGGGCCGCGGGCGACGGAACCGAGGGGCCGCGGGCGACGGGATCGAGGGGCCGCGGGCGTCGGGATCGAGGGGCCGCGGGCGACGGGATCGAGGGGCCGCGGGCGTCCCCCACGGTAGGAAACCGCCGCGCGCCTCGGGGCGCACGGCGGGCAGAAAACCGCCGCGCACCTCGGGGCGCACGGCGGGATGAAAAACCCTAAAAATTTTCGCCGTCCTCAGGAAGAGGACGACGCACGCCCGAGGCGCGCGAGAAGCATAACAGCAGCGGAAGCAGTTAGGTGGTGGGCCCACCCACAGGATCGACCCAACAGGATCGTCCTGCTCTGATAGCATGTCGAGAGAATTAGGCAAAAGAGGAATGAACTAGCAAGAATGGGGATACAAATAGCAAACCCTAGAAGGGTTGTACTCGCTACAGAGCACCCCACTACAGGCTAGAGCATAATATTCTGACACGATGCGTGTATCGTTCTTCTCTGGGAGAGGAGTCATGAAGTGTACGAGATTGTGACGTGCTATACGTTCCAGTTCTGCCCGTTCTTCCTCGCCGACATGAACGACCTCAACCGCTGCTTCTAGAAGCGTGATGTGAGTTTGTTTAATCCTTCGCGAAGAGGCCTCTGCTTGTGTCTATATTTTCTTGAGTTTTGGATGTAGTCTTACATGTCATGTATGACTGTGCTGTAACAGATTAATGTGACAGAGATTGCAAGACCATCGAGGTGACCACTGCGGATCTAATGGAGCGGTATTTGCAGGCCGACAAGCAATTCGGTGGCGAGAGCAAGTGCTGGCTAGTCGGCTTTCTGAAACTGCACGGGCAAGGTGGAGGCAAGAAGGTCCGTGTGAGAGGCGTGGATGGGGAGGGACGCCCAATCAACCATCTGTACACCATGCACGAGAGGAAGCTCCCTGGGCACAAGGTCGGGAGTGGATACGACGAGTGCATGAAGC